CTCCAGTCTTTCAGATAGGAATTTTAAATTTATTTCATGAGATGGGAAAGCTCAGAGAACGGAAATATCAGAAAGCAACCCATTTTATTAGTTTCAATTTCAACCTGAACAAGGTGTTGGTGCATTAGGATCATTTATTCTTGGAATGATTACATTCCTGGCACTCAATGGCAACTCAACGTTATCACACCAATGCTGGGGGTTCGACCAGTGTTGGGTAAAAGTCCCCACACCCTTAGTCACAAGTAAAGTCATTGGTTATGTAAGTCTTGAGTCATGTCTGAGTGCAAAGTTGAGCCACGGCTGTTCGAGTCTCGATTCAACTTTGAGTCTGAGTGCAAAGTTGAGCCAAGGCTGTTCTAGTCTTGATTCAACTTTGAGTCTGAGTACAAAGTTGAGCCACGGCTGTTCGAGTCTTGATTCAACTTTGAGTCTGAGTGCAAAGTTGAGCCACGGCTGTTCAAGTCTTGATTCAACTTTGAGTCTGAGTGCAAAGTTGAGCCACGTCTGTTCGAGTCTTGATTCAACCTTGAGTCTGAGTGCAAAGTTGAGCCACGGCTTTTCAAGTCTTGATTCAAATTCGAGGCCAAGTGCAAAGTTGGGCGCTCACAGGAGTATGTGTACCAATATGGAAGTAACTAATTTTGTTCTCCTGCTTAACATCAAGTTGTGTTAAGGGACTGAAAATCGGTATAAAATTATGGCCTAACCCTAACCTGGTACACAGACTACGGGAGTACCCAAAGTTGTGTCACCCTAACCGTGTCTTGGTTCAACTTCAATTTCTCACCAACAGTCAGTTGCATATGAGTCGCTGACTCAGGTCACTTTGAGTCTCTGACAGATGGTCCAGCCTTCCCAGGACTGATTTCAACTCAATATTTTTAGTTTGTGATTTAAAGATAGTTTAGGACCCATGCGCTAACCACTAAGCCATTGATCCAAGTTCAGTGTTATCCAGTTCGAAATTGTTTTGGTTTCTTTTCTTCTAAAAGCTATTATGGTAGATATAACTCAGAAATTATACATATTGAATAGTACCTTCAATTTGAATTGTATAGCCAGCACATTTAGTTATTGAAATTGGGAACACTATTATCAAGATAGGTTTCATGAATTTTTGATTTCCAATTTCATTATTTGAATGAGGTCTCCTGACCCTGAGTTACAAGTCAAGTACACTTGTGGGCCATCCGAGTCTCAAGTCAAGTTTGAGTCTGAACACCAGTCGAATCACTGGGCCAAGTCCACGTGGCAATTAGCCTAAAATTAATACAAGTCATCTTATAATTTCATCGATACAAATATATATAGTTTCAGTAACTCTTGGCATTCCAGTGACTGCCGTGAACTTAATTAATAGACCATGAAATATACTCATAATACCGCAAACAAAATATCAGTGTCCTCGTGACTGCCGTGAACCTAATTAATAGACCATAAAATATACTCATAATACCGCAAACAAAATATCAGTGTCCTCATGTTTTGAATCACCTTAACCGTAATTATACTTTCATTGCTTTGATTCTCTAGGTGATATTTACCGTAGCTGAAATTTTGAAATTTTTTGATTCCTATTTCTAAATAAACCATTGACTTTCACAGTTTATTTGGATGGATTAGTCTAGCTATTTATGAAGTAACACTATTTCGAGTCCTGAAATTACTGAGGACTGTTTATGTTTGATGAACAGTCTCTGGCCTGAAAATCTCTTTTTGTATAAGGCTGCATAGTAGCACAGTCGCTGTAAGAGTTCACTATTTACTAAGCTGATAAATCAACATAATTATAATACAACAAACAAAAATTCAGTGTTCCCATGTTTAAATCACTTTGTCTGTATATATACTGTGCTTTCTACAGAGACTATTCCAAAGAAAAATACCATTGTTTAGTGTAGGTTACCAAATAATAACTATTGAATGGTACAGTTTATACTTATAGAGACTGTGTAGTCAGAAAATATTATTAAAAAAGGGGAACACTATTCTTGAGAAAAATTGTTAAATTATAGTCTCTGAAAACCTTTTTGTATAAGTATACCTGCGGTCTTTGAGATATTGAATTGGATATTATTCCTGTGGAATTTATTACAGGTTGGGGTTGTATGCAGACGTGTTGCTAATTATGAATACAAGTTAGATTTTGACCATGAAAACATAAAACTATTGCTACTGGTAATAACATACACTCAGAAAAAATTTCAAATGAAAAATATACAATCCCTCATACAGAAATCAAATCATTTTGTGGACGGGTTTTGAAAGACGTGGTGGTATTATGCTCGAAAAAAAAAATGAATATTGTAAACTGTTTTTCTTTCTGAATAAGGCAACAAGGAAGCATTCGCTGATGTGTAAGATCTTACTATTGACTAAGCTGATAAGGCAACTTAGGTACTTATAATATGGCAAATAAAAATTCAGTGTTCCCATGTTACAATCACCTTGGCTGTATATAATATAATTTGCCATCTCTAGAAACTATTTCAGCGAAAAATGCCATAAGAAACTTTGTTTAGTGTAGTTTACCAAATAATAACTATTGAATGGTACAGTTCATACTTATAGAGACTGTGTAGCCAGAAAATATTGTTAAACTGGGGAACACTATTCTTGAGAAAAATTGTTAAATTATAGTCTCTGAAAACCTTTTTGTATAAGTATACCTGCGGTCTTCGAGATATTGAATTGGATATTATTCCTGTGGAATTTATTACATGTTGGGGTTGGATGCAGACATGTTGCTAATTATGAATACAAGTTAGAGTTTGACCATGAAAACATAAAACTACTGCCTTAAAAAGATACTAATGTACCAGTAATAACATACACGTAGACAAATTTTCAACTGAAAAATATTCCTCATACAGTAAATCAAATCATTTTGTATAGGGGTTTCGCAAGACGTGATGGTATTATGATCGGAAAAAAATGAATATTGTAAATTGTTTATAAAACATATCTTTGTCCTTGACTTGAACACAACTCCTTTCCGACAACCCATGTTGTTGGATACGGTACATTGAAATCTGTGAAATCGTATTTCTTATTTGTCCCGTACCCATGCCTTTTGCCTCAAACAAAGCCCTCACAAGCAGTCACTGATTTCAGAAAATATGACTACTCATTTTAAAAAAGATTGGAACCTTCATGACTGGGCATTGCCTAGTAAATTATTTATTGTGGTCGCTTGTAACATTGCCTAGAGGTAAGAACCCTTTACCTGTGAGTGAAGTGATCTTGCTTTGAGTTAATTTTTATTCTTTTCTATAATACTGATGTATGGAAATTAGTTACCAGTTGCAGCTTTGCCAGGTTATATTACAGCTAGCTCCCTATAGCCAGCTGAGACAACGGAATTTGTTTTCAATGTCCAAACAAACTAGAATATATTACAGTACTATTCAGATGTACTTACTTTTAGGAAATGTCCGATATATTTAATTTGAAATGTTAGATTTATGCCAGGCTTGGCGGTGTGGGGCATCTGGCTAAGCATCAGTGATCTGCTCGTCAACTCACCTCTGATTACCCTGCATGGGTTCGCAAGTCTAATTCAATGCAGGGATAGGTATGTACGAAGGAATTGTTAGACTCCTCGTTGCCATGGGGTGGTTCACATAACCCTGGCCGCTTACCGCTTACTCCGCCATCAAGTACATGCTTCCGAAAACAGAATAACTAGCTAACTAATCCCATATCCTACATGGACTAGTATCCGGATGAGAGGCCATGGTTCGCCATATGTTTGAGCTGTTTTATCGGCTTTCCTCTCCCTGGAATAATTTTGTAAACCCTAACCTATATTAGAGTTGACAGTAGGGATAGCAGAGATGAGTGATTTACTATTTTAAAGAGATATTTTCAACTTAAAATATCGATAATTTACTCAATTCTGTAATACTTGATATTGCAGTTCATGGCTTGTTTGACCTGATATCAGTCTCGGTCAGTCTTTCCCAACCTATGAGTGCTGTTGACACAATGGATGTAGAAGCATAGTCAAACCTCATACTAAAAATTATGTTGATACTAAAATTATATATTTTTATTTCAGATACAGGAAAGCTGGTCTATATTGTGATTTTACGATCAAAGTTGGTTCGGAAAAATTCCGAGTGCATAAGATTATTTTGTCAACTGCAACTGATTATTTTAAGTTAATGTTTCGGCATGAGGTTAGTATATTTATGATATCCGACCTTTAAATATAATTATAGTTAGTTTATAGGTTGGAATCATGACTTGATCGTTATGGAATCAAAACTCATGCCCACCACCTCACCCAAGGTTTAATAAACTGTGTCGACCAGTGTTTCTCAACCTATTGGTCGCAACCCAACCCTTGGTCGCCTGATAATTTTCTTGTGTTTTTCACTTGTTTTTTTTTTTCAATAAAAAAAACTCCAAAGTAATTTATAGTAAATTTGGTACTGAAGGGTTGCCCCAATATTACTTGTATGTGTGGGCCTCGTGAGACTTGACAGCATTCATTTTGCTTAGTAAAGCTATTCATCAATTTTAAAAACTTGCAAACTTTTTTTTGCATAGCTAGCCTAGCTTTTTTGCATAGATAACTTCCTATTTTTTTGTAGGGCTTAATATAATCAAAATATCTTTATTGACACCTCTGAGCAATAATAGGTGCATGTACCGCACGCAAGCGCAGACCATACGATTTTTCACGAATTTTTTTTTTTTAAATATAAGGAAAAAATTGCGACCTGCGTACGTACGGTATACTATGTCAAGATGGTTTGGATTAACTCTGGAGTAAGCAGGGCACAAACTCAACCTAATAAGGCCAACACACGAATCTGCCTTGGACACAGAAATCTTTCCAAGGTTCCCATGGACATGGATAGTGTAATATGGGTTTCAATAACATCGTGCACGATAGCTTAGTGCATTGCATTTGTTATATGAGACAAAGTGACAGTGACAGTGTGATGCATATACTTACAACTGCAATTTCTGTCATAATTATTTTTCAGACTGTTGAGACTCTGTCAGGAGAAGTTGATATCCAAGGCTTCAGTGCGGATACTATTAAGAAAGTTATCGAGTATATCTATACTTCCAAATTCCCCATTAATGAGACATCTGATGTCGCATCATACATGCAGGCTTCACATTTCTTACTACTACCAAGTGAGTTCATTTTTCTCTTGAAACTCTTTATTCGAAACCAATAAAGTGGATATATATCATTTACGGTAATTATAAAAACCTAAACTGAGGAGTTGAGAAACAATTACACATACCTCCAAACCATTCATAAGACGGGTCTCCAAAAATTTTGACTCCGACTCCAGCTCCCAAATCCAAGTTATAAAATTATTCAGGCTCTTTGTGAGGTTCCATCTCTAAAACTAAATTTTATCACGGACAAGTTGGCCTGCGCAAGCCTTCTTAAATTGTCTGTTGGGACTACTTGGCAACTTAGTTCTTTTCGAGCTACTGTGTAACATGCGACCTATGGATCACATGCTGCTCGCAGAGAAATGCCAATTTTTAATGATGGGCCCGCTAAACGATTTCCCGATTTAATTTATTTTGATACGTGCTAGTAATTCCAATCCCTTTGTGTTCCGAAGCCTATACCTGAGTCCAATTTATCTATGTCTATGACTTTACAATGCCTCAACTGCTAGCTTGTGCAAACAAGGCATGTCATAAGATCAATGACCAACATTTTTGTGGGTGCTCCCGAAGTATGCGAACCAAGATGGCGGACATCGGAACGTAACATGGGTAACAGGTTAGGGTTAAGCGATAATTATTTTCCAATTTTCCTTATTTTAGTCCTATTATCAGTTCGAAGACTAGCCAAGAGCTTCCCGTAGTATTTATACCTAAAATTATGGCCTAACCCTAACCTAGTACACATGTTACATTCCGATGTCCGCCATCTTGGTTCGCATACTTCGGGAGCCCCTTTTTGTGTCTGCATCTACCAGAAATTCCATGTAAAATGAAAGTGCGACCCGCTAGTTTCACCAAGTTATTTCTTAATGGCCCTCCTGTATTAAAGATCACCTGACTCAAAGGATTTTAGGTACTCCCGAAGTATGTGAACCAAGATGGCGGACATCGATACATAGTATGTGTACCAGGTTAGGGTTAGGCCATAATTTTGTTCCAATTTCTTTATTTTAGTTCTATTTCAAGTTCGGGGACTATCCAAGTGATTCCCGTTGTACCTGAAATTAAGGCCTAACCCTAACCTGGCACACATACTACGTTTCAGTGTTCGCCATCTTGGTTCACATACTTCGGTTTTTTGGGGTAAAATGGTTAGAGCCATAGTGGGTTAAATAATGGTGAAACTTTCCACTGGATATCTTCATTTTTTCCTATATTATGTAATTTTTAATGATTTAATTTTTTATTTAAAAAAAATCTTTTTCAGAATTATGTGGTATTGTCACTGAATATCTGGAACAGAATTTGGGTCCCAAATCTTACTTCATCACCATAAATATCTCGAAGTTGTACGATCTGAAACAACTCGAAGCCAAATGTGATAAAATTGCTTCCAACAACTTTGCAAAAATTGCAGAACTGGATGAATTCAAGGAAATAGATGAAAAACAGTTGGTGGGAATGATCAAGGCCAAGGAAAACACGGTTAGTGGGATATTATTTATTCAGACTCTCATTTAATATTTAGTCACACTTTGTTTGACGTTTACACTTCATTATACATAATATGGGTACCACTGAGGGGTTGAGTTTATATATTTATCTCAAGGGAGAAGAAAGCCAATAACGCAGCTCAATGATGTGATAAACTACGGCCTTTCGTCACGTTACTAGTTAATGCCGGGCATGGGATTAGTTAGCTAGTTATTTTTTTCAGTTGCATGGACTTGATGGTTAAAAAGCCGTAACTGAACCGTGGTTGCATGAACCACGCGGCGGCAAGGAGTCCAGCAACCTTCTTGCACACGCCTATCCCTGCATTGGAACCAAACCTGTGAACCCACGCAGGACAATCCGAGGTGTGATGGAAGCGTATTTCTGGCGCTTAGCACTACGCGCCTCACGGACAATCCAGGCTGATGTTTACTTGGCCCATAAATGTTTGATTGCACAGGCCTTTTCTCCTTACTTAACAAGTATTTGGTAGTCATCAATCAATGGATTTGTGGTTTCATAATATTGAGTTTCCGGACTATGTTTTTTATATTTCATATACTATTCAAAATCACCCTTATAACCAGATTCCTGAACTGAAAAATATTTCAGGATATTTTTTTAGTATAAAAAATACATTTATTCATTTTAGGCATCTGAAGAGGAAAAATGCTTAGCCTTGATGAATTGGACAAAATTTGATGAGAAGAAACGTTCAAAGCAGTTTGTCAAATCTTTCAAGCAACTGGATTTGACCAAAATATCACTCTCTTATCGCAGAAAACTTCTGGAGCAAGATGTAAGTCTTTTAGTTTCTCACCGGTTTCTGTCATTGTACTGACTGGACAAATCATTTATGCCCATTGCCCAAAGTTATTTTCTGAGGACTTCTTCAGTTATGTGAAATTCACTACGTCATGGCTGTTTTCCTGATTATATTGACCTTGAATTCGATTTCGCCAATCTATAAAGTTATGGATGGTTTCCATAACACTGGTAGGTCTGAATGTATTTTATCCTAAGTTGTGTTGAAAGACATACCAGCAGGAAACATTTTCCATTTTTCCAAATATTTTAATGTAAATTTTAACATATCATTTTGATTCAACTGCACACATGACTGATAAATTTTCGAAACAAATATTTATATACAATCAAACATAATTTATAAGAAGTAAACACTAAACACTGAATCTTTATGTTTTCAGAGTCTCATTGCTGCAAATACAGAAACTTTACGAATTGCAGCATTGTCATTCATTGATGATAAGACTGCTTCATCGAGTTCTTCTGCATCTAGTTCTTTGGCATCAAGTTCTTCTGCATCAGCTTTGGAAGGTAATTCAACTTAATAGGATTCTTATTATTTTATTCAATGAACATCAAATATTCATGTTTTTACTCAATTATAAGCTTCAAGCAAACACTGATACATAACGAGATTCTGTTCTCGGAAAGAACGTAATATGTCTGATTTGGCAATCCAGTACCCAATCCCATACATAGGTGCAAAACTTTGACCACTAGCACATCACCCCCCAGATAATTACCTATTTGTATTGTATAGTAAAGGGTAGCATCCACTCTGTGTTTCGAAGCAGGAGTCAACTTCACAAACAATCGTTAGTCAGGAGTCTTATTCGAAGATTTTTATTCTCCTGTTCAAAATTTCAATGGCAATTATCGTAGTCAAAATTTTCGTTGGAAAACAAGTCATTTTATGGGCCTTAATTTGATTTTGGACCCAGATGTGAATTCTCCCCCACTTCACAACCCCACATCTGCACACTGGACAAGAGTACATTTATTGGATTAAAAGCAAACCAATGACTGAAACTGTATTATATAAAAAGGACAATTATTGGTTAATTGTATATGGATAGGGCATCATGGCCACACATTATGTAAAACAGCCTTACTGACAGCCTTACTGATTGTGGCAAAAATAATGGACTGGCTGTAAGGAAAAACGAAATTGACGAATGAAAATTCTCTGTAATTGATTAGTAATATTTATGGCTTTATAGATATCTAATACAGCCTTTGTTTCTTATACCAGATGACGCATTGGTCGTTTTTGACTGGACATCTTCCCATCTCCAACAGTTCAATCCAAGGTCAAATGAATGGAAGCAAATGCAGGTAAGCATTACCTGCTCTTCATGACCAACTGACAACACTGAACAACCTTTTGGCATATAGAAGGTCACGAATCTTTAAACAATATTGCAAATATACCAAATAAGCCTATTATAGTGAAGAAGGAATAATTGGTAAAGATAAACTCGCTTCATTTTAACATAAAATATGACTCTTTTATGGGGTCATCCTCATCTTCGCTCTGAACAAAGCAGCCATTAATACGAACACTGATGCTGCCAGCTTGGGAGGTCGAAAATGAGCATTAATAAACGATTATCTCATACCATACCAAATTACTAGAATTTACACATTTTAATTTGATTCGAAAAAAAAAAATCAAAACTGACATCTCTGGTGATAGTCATCAGGTTTGAACCATGGATCTTTAACTTGCAACACGAACTTAGATCTCAGTAGAGTTCCAGGGAATCTCAAACTCCCATTCTGTATATGTGTCATGTAATGAGCTGAAACTCACAAAACTCTTTCTTTATGTAGAAAATGAATGAAGACATGAAGTCAAAGATGTTCTCTGCTATTGCATTGAATCAGCATATTTATGTCTTAGTTGGCGACAACTCATTCTATCGACTTAAATATGTCGATGTTAATGCTACATGGGAGGAATTAAAGAGTTCGTTGAAAAATCATGGCGACTCCCCACCAATGACTTTGGCTGATGGTTAGTAGTTCATATACCTCAACTAATGACGTTTGGTTGAATAGTTCTTTCTTTCAATTCATATTACCAAATATTAATGTTTTTCCAGACTTATCCAAATATTCACTACTCTATATGTTCAGTGTATGAATAATCTATATTTCAATAATCAAAGTGCGGCAATCAATAACAAAGTAATCACAAATTTATAGCATTATTAAAGTTTCTTACTAAATCTATAGAATTTGGTGTCAATGACAAAATTTAAGTTTTCGAACTATTATTCAACTGAGGTTAAAGCATGGCATGTCTTAGATACATTGTTTATAAAGTATCTGTAATATCAGAGGTTGGCAAAATACTTGAGTGAAATTTGTTTAAACCATTTTCTGCCTCTTAACACGAATTTAAAATATTCATAATGTCAGCATATTACGTTTCCATTGTAAGTGAATTGACTTTCTAATTTGAGTAATCATAAAGTCTTAGAGTGGAGCGATAAACCCAACTCTTTGTGCAGTAAAGTAACGGTATTTCATTGGCTTCTATTGTAAACAAATAGCATTGAAATAAACACTTCTATTGTAAACAAATAGCATTGAAATAAACAGAGGTTTCTTTCCAACTAATCCAAGAATAAAATTCATTTTCAATATGATTAATTTTAATGTAATATGACAATTAAATTTTGGTACTTCCAAAGTATGCAAACCAAGATGGCGGACACCGAAATGTAGCATGTGTGCCAGGAAAGGGTTAGGCCATAATTTCAGGTCCAAATACTATGGGAGGCATTTGGCTAGTCTTCGACCTCGTAATAGACCTAAAATAAAGAAAATTGTAATAATATTATGGCCTTACCTTAACCTGGTACGCATACTACGTTCTGGTTGCCGCCATCTTGATTCACATACCAAAATTTTTACATGTTGGGTTGAATCCAATTATATCTGTTTTATTGTTTAACTAGCACGGGTACAATTACAAACCTGTCAGGCCTCTGGTTCGTCATACTAAGTTTGAACATGATGGTCATGGGCTTCAAACTGAATTAACATGGGCTTGAACCCAAGAACCCTCCTTTGCCAACTTGAGCGACTCATGAGGCCATCACCCCCACCTCTACTGTGAACTCGTAAAAGTCTCGAACCAGATAGAGCAGATGAATTTTGACTGCTGCGTTGAGTATTAAAAATTTGAATCCCACGACGATGAAAGATTGGCAATGCCCTTATCCTTATGCCAATATCACCTTAATATATTCATACTTAAAAAAAATCCATCCAAAAATATCCAAATTGAGGTTCTATACACATATTAGGTGAGATCTGGATTGTTGGTGGATGTGGTGGATCTGACACAACAACAGTGGAAAAGTATAATTCTCTGAGAAACCAGTGGACAAAGATGAAGAGCAAGATTGTTAAATGTAATGGTCCTGCAGTCATCTGCATGCAAGGTATGTTTATTCAAATCATGTTATTTTATTAAATTTTCCTGTACATTGCCAGGCAGATAATTGAGTCTCTGTTTAGTTTGTTTCAGTGTTTAAAAAACATCATTTTTCAACCAGGGTAATTTTCTGGCTTTTCAATTATTCATTAAATGAATTTAGAGCAAGTCGTCTATAATGTAAGAATTTAATCTCCATTTTATTTAGTAGCATAGCTGTGTGTAAACATAGATCAGCCGATGTTTCATTTCTGAGATTGCACAAAATTACTTCAACCAGTGAAGTTAAAGAATAGCATAAATTTTTTTTTATCAAACGTACTTAACATGATGATGGATATATATCTCTTTTTGTTGAAAACTCCCATCAAATGTCAGTTTAAAATGGATAAATTGAAGCGACGTCTGCCGACTTAATATTCTGAGTAAACTTGGAAAAATGTATTTTTTGAACGACTGCTGTCTAATAGAAGGATGTCAATTGGCTATGTTGGAATGGCATTTTTTTTTAATAAAATAAAATTTTAATGCAGGAACCCTTGGAAAGATTATATATATTATAACATTAAGGATAGGATTTACATATTTATCTTGGGGAAGAGCCTGGTCTCTTGTCCACACCCCGGTCCATGTCGGGTTTGGGACCAGTTGGCCACATATCTTTTTTCAGATGCATAGACTTGATGGTGGAGAAAGCCGTAGCCGACCAGCGATTTCGCAATGGTGGCAAGAAGTCCAGCAATCCTCCCGCACATAGTTATTTCAACATGAGATTTGGAACTTCGAATCCTTTGGAACTACGGATTTGCGAACCCACACAGGCTAATGAGGTGCGATGACGAGTTTAGTCCTATTGCTTAGCACGTTAGTCACGTTGCAGAACATAATCAGGTATAGTGCAAAAGAAAAAGTATTTTCATTTTTGAAGTTCATTACCATTGCAGTTTGAGATAAATACTATATCACGCTTGATATGAGATCGTCAGAACTATTTAACAGAAGAGGTTCTGCCGAGTGATAAATAATAATTGTCCACGTGTGGATACATGGCGATACATACTTAGCAACAGTAGCGAAGCTCGATTTTTGCTTGATATAGTTTAACATCCAAAATTTTTTTTTCCACCAAGTATTTTATTTTAGTGTAAAAAGACTTTAATAATTTGGAACATTCCTATAAAGTGTCATCAATATGATGAGTACCATGCGAAATGTAATTACGATAGGGTTCTGTTTAGATTTATTATGCTGTTATTCTCTTGAACTGAGAACAACACATTGAGTAAGTTATGAAATATTCATACACATGTTCTTCAAGATCGTGTCTCATTTCTCACTCAGTGCATATACCAATATCGTATACAGCGTTTCCTCGTTGTTTAACTACTCGATACTCGAACAAGTTGATAGTCAACTGAAAAAATCTAGCCAAAAATGCTGTGTTACTCAAATGAATATTTGGTGCTCGAGCAACTGGGTGCCACCAAGTGAGTTCACCCAAATATGGACACAAAGGCCAAATCGAAGTAGTACTGTAATACAATGTGTCGCTGTAGTCTACTCGCATGGCAATCTTTACGTTTAACACAAAAGCGGAGCTGGCACATGGTGCGCAATTTTTAATGACCCTCATTGCATCTAAAAACGAATCCCATACGGAAATATGCTAAAACATAACATAACCGATACAAAATTTTGTATTTTTATCATGTTTATTAAGTTTAAACTTCGTTATGTATATAGCTAAATAATTATTGTTGTTTTGGTACACGTTTTGTTAATAATCATGGTAGTTTGGAACTAACTAAAATTATTTCCATTATTTCGTGTAGCAAAAATATTTGGGCATTTAAACAAATCTGTGAGCCAAACTCCGGAATCAATCCGGAATGATTTATGTTTGAATACCGATGTATAACTGTATTTGATAATTACGAATAAACTTTATAAAGCTAGTATTTAAAACAAATGCTTTGTTATTGATCAATATTTCAAGATCCAACATGTGCTTGATATATTTCTTTGAGCAAACTTTCAGAAAATGTTTCTGGTTTTAATGGTTTTACTTTTATTCCAAATCCCAATATAATGTTCAGCTGTTATTCTGAGACCAAAATAAATTTGTTTAAATTTGCAGGAAGCATTTATAGTTTGGGAGGATATGAAGGATCAATGGGTTCAAACAACAAAGCGGAATGCTTCAATCTATTTACGTCAACATGGAGTTTCATTTCACCAATGCTGAATGCAAGATACAAATCTGCTGCTGTTGAATTCCAGAATCGACTTTATGTGCTCGGTGAGTTGTTTTAAGTTCATTCGATTCTGGATAACTTGTTCGAGTTCTTTTTCCAATATGATTTGATTCAAAAAGTTTTATACTAACAGATAGAGTTGTGTAAAGTTTAATAATTTTATATATCGAAGCACTTTTAATTTATCCTGCCGGTGTGAGCTTTTACATTTTGTGATCACTACACAGTGGCTAACGAGATCCACAAGTAATGCTGAAATTGAACTAGTTCTGGTGTAGCAAAATCTATATTTATTGAAAAAAGTCCAAATTCCTGTAAATAAGTGAAGAATTTTCATTCCTTTTCAAACAATACACTTATAAATGAGAAAGAAGGATATTTGAATACGCCTGACAAAGCAAAAGCGTAAGGCCAGTAAGAATTCTTTCAGATTATCCCGTTAAGTGGTGCAACATTATCTGCCTTTTGGACAGAAAGCTCATTTTCAAATATAGCATGGTCATGAAAAGCTTTTGTGGTCTAAGGCAGGGATATCAAATCTATATTACAGGAGGGCTAGTTACTAATAAGTGGTTGAAGCCGTGGGTCGCACATAGAAACAATACCTATAAAAGGCTCTGGATACAAAAAAATCCAACTACGAAAAATTCTTCTTGTAAAAATACTGCTTCGGCCGATGTAAGATTTTCTACATACGAAAAGCCGAAAACTTGCAAATCAAGTTTAGTGATATTTGTTTATTGTAGGTTAATTTAATGCAGTGCTTGAAGAAGGGATGTCTAATTTGAATATAATATTTTAATATCGCAACCTTCGAATATCGTTTTTCGCGTTTATAAGAATACAAAATATGATGCACATATGCTAACAATCCTGTTCCTGTTCTGATTTAAACCATTTTACAATTATTTTATTATTTTTTATCGTAATTCAAAAGCAGCTGTGTGCGACGTGGCGATAAATTGTCTGTCATTGAATTGACCAATTTGTTTCCTGTGGGCATGTACAATGTGTTTCTAGCAAAATTTAGTGAGATAACAATAACAGTTAAAACAAAAGTAAAATGAAATGAAAAAAGGTGGAAATTTTGAATTTCATGCGTGTGTGTGCTTATTTTTACATTCCGTTATCTCTCAGCTGTCAACTTTAGCTTCCTCCTCCGACTGCGCCGTCCTCCCATTCTCCACGGTCTTCGTTTAGTCTAGCCTAGTTGGCCAATGCCGACGGTAAACAAATATATAGTTCGTAGTTTTTATTCAATATTTCTTCATCTTTCCACATGTACCTTTTTTATTTATTCTACAGAAATCTAATTCGAACATGTATTTGTTGCAAGTTTTAACCATTATTATAATTTATACAAATATTTTGTCTGAGTTTTGTGGGGGCTTAGAACGGATTAGGGCATTTCCAAGTAAAACTTCATTCAAAATTGTCACTTCTCTGCGGGCCACACAAGTTTGCTTTGCAATTGGCAGTTTGCCCACCCCTGGTCTATGGCACAAGTTATTGATACCTTGCCATAATATGCTGTCACCCAACTTGATGACAATGAGATTATAAAAACCTGACTAAGCTTTAGATTGGTCTTCTAAGTTTTAGATCGTACTTTTCAGTTTTATTCATCCCACCCAATTCTAGTCTATCTGGTAATTGATAATTTTGCTTTACAAAAAATCATCTTATGAATTAAATTCAACTTCTTTTCTTATTATATTACACAACAAAAACGTGACACATGCCTTTATTTTAGAAATTGAACAAAAATTCATATTTTGTCATATTCAAACATAATTTTTAGGCATATGCGCAGATGAAAAGCATTTTGAAATTGTTGAATTTTTTAAAAGCATGAATTTTATAATATTGAAGGTTTTTTTCAAACTTCAGACAAAGGCTTAGCAAAATTCTAACAAACTATTTGAGTCGCCAAATAATTTACAAACTCCGCAGTCATATCTGATTTATTTTTATTTTCAATCAAATAGTTGATTCAACTCCTGATATCACAATTGCATAAATATGACTCAAATTAATTTTTCTTGAATAATGTTTTTTTTAGACATTTCTTCTATATGACTTGAAAAGCAATAACTGATTTTCGCTTAAATTGAAATTGCTTGCACTTTGCAATAAATTTATTTCAAAATGAAAATACTCATGTTTTATGGAATATTTCTTCTAAATAGTGATAAATTTAAGCTCAGTGCTGATATTCACATAAAATATTTACCCAACTCCCAGTGATATGTTGTCTAAATTTATATATGACTTATATTTTATGAGATATATCTTCCGAGTACATGCAAAAGCTGAAATTTTGGATGTTCGGATTTCAAGTGTATGACTTAGCTTTGAGCTGATATTGACACACTTTTACTCTTTGTATACAAGGTGGATGTAATAGGGGGCAGGATCTGAAAACTGTCGAAACATACGATCCATCATCCAATTCCTGGACCATGTTTGCACCGATGATATCGGTTCGTAATCTCTTCAAAAGCTTTGTTTTCAACGGGAACATTTATGCAGTTGGTGGATGGCGGTATGTATAGTTATATTATTATTTTATCACATTGCATTCAGTTGTGCAGATACTAAATGTTCATCGTAATTATGTGATATTGGGTATAATAAGTTTACAGTGACTCTGATGAATATTTTACTAGTTTTTTTTAAAGATGGATGACTGGCTTCGGCTTGTTTGAAATTTAATTTATAACTCCCATATACATATACGTGGCCAGGACGTCGAAAAGAGGGATCTTGTCACGAAAGTTCCTTCATAGTGGCTTTTAAAATAATCACCCGATTACTAGACTCTAAATAGGTTCTCATTCGAAGATGATTTATAAAGCGCTCTATTTTGAATAGGCTTTCATGCCGAATTTATCCTCCTGGCTGGTTTAATTAAATTAGGAAATCGACGACCAGTGCTATCAGGTATGACCCTACCATGAAGGTTTGTTCATAAATCATGACTTCCTTTGCTGTTTAAAATTTAATCCAACAGAACTCCAGTAACTCAGGCCTGATAATCCACTCAACCTGAGCATGCTGGCCAGCAGATTCCATAGCACCGGTTCGAACTAACGTTGGTCAAGCAGTCAATACACAAATCCATGATTTCATCCAAAATGCTTCATACACCCTGTTTTCAGTCAAGTCAGTCAATTTGTCAAGTCTTGTGTCCCACCTCAAATATAACTGCCGTAGCTAACAACAAGCTACAAATAACAGATAATAAGGCGAAAGTATGTTTTATTTAAAAATCATGTTGAAAATATTTAGAGGGAACCCAAATATCCAAAATAAAGGAGTTTGAATATCTAAAATAAGGAGATCAAATCTAACAAATAGTTTTATTTTCAATTAGTTTCATACCCCCTCTACGCGATTGTGGGGCGCCCCCACCATTTGAGAACCACATATGGATTTGGCAATGGCAAATCATTAAAAACTTAGTCTTTCTCACGAGTCTTAACAAATTTTGAAGCCTGTAGTAATGTATAGTATTGTAACTTATTTTTGTTCTTGTCTCTCTTTCAGTTCAATGGAAACCATGGAGAAATACGATTCTGAAAAACAAAACTGGGTGATGGTTGACATTCCTGAAGATATGGACCTCAATATAGGGGACTCAGTGAAAATAAAAGCCATATGAATATTCGCACCCAAACATATTGACTTCCGAACGTTCCACAGCATCTAATTATTTTATTCCCATTTATCGTGGCACTTGATTTTTATATTTTGTATTTTGCAAATCAATCAAATATTCTTTCTGTTAAATTGTAATTTGAACTCAGTCTTTGTATATCGCAAAAACCCTTCCTCTCCCCGTACTGCCAATATTTTTATATCAACTCATATTAATTTGTGTGCGATCAAATTAGGATAGGATTTACACATTTATCTCTGGGGAGAGGAAAGGCAATAAGACTACTCAACCATATGGCTTACCACGCCTCTCGTCCAGTTACCATTCCATGTCGGTTATGGGATTAGTTAGTTATTTGTTTTCGGAAGCATGGACTTTATGGTAGAGGAAGCTGTAACTGACCAATGGCTACGTGAACCACCCTACGACGGCAAGAAATTCAGCAATCCTCTCACATACTATTCCACATGGGATTCGATCGCGAACCCACGCAGAGTAATCAGAGGTGCGATGGCGAGCGTATTCCTAATGCTTAGCATGTTGAGCCACACCGCCGCGCCAAATTAGAGCCCTGAATATTGTGAAAAGCCTTGCTTCCCAGCATTTACACTCACTACGGCAAAGTTCCCAACCCTGGGGATTTTGTAGGTCTTGGAAGGAATTTTGCCTTGCACTTGCTGAATATACCATTCTTGAGGTCTGTTTATTACTATAATACCACGTTGTAAACAACTTGATTTGTACAAAAGCGAGAGTGCGATTTGCCATAACAATTTCTACTGAGCTAAGGCTCCATTAAATATTGAATTTAATGAAAAAGGTTGAGAACCACTGCACTGTGGGGAGGACTACTTGAGGATTGGTTTAAAATATTCTACTGTTGGGCTCCTTTTTCAAGTACTGGGATAAATATGAAATCCTATTTTACATTTCTTGATTTTTAAAGTACTTCCTGAAACCCATTAATTCAATTTGCGAAAATAAGTTTCTTTATTCTCTGATTTTTGTAACCACTGTTTGTTAAATTTCTTGTGTATATTCTGTTTCCCCCTACAATAACAATATATCTTATTAGAGGGAGTTACTAGTTGATTTGGAAAAGGCTTTCTAGTTCGACATGGACTGGAGGGATTCCAATTAGGGCGGTTATTGACGAACTAGATTTAATGCATTAACATGAAAAATTTTTTTTAAAAAATGCTAGATAAAACAATGTTGTTATTGGTGCGACATGATTCAGTCTAAGGTTAAACTAAAATGTGCCAGTAATATAGGATTTCAACATCTGCTACACCATAAGCATAATATTTTTCAAGTAAACTAAATTACTTTTCATGAGTGCAACATGCAAGTATTCCCATATGCCTGTAATGAAGTTATAGATACTACACCTAAATATTATGTTCATCCTTGAAATAGGTAACTTAATTGAAATTTAAGGTTTTTATTCTCAAATATGCTTTTTTTTTTGTCGAAAGTAGTGAGTTCTATGTCAAAGTAAATTCTTGTCTGGACACCGTCAATTTTAATTTCATGTATTTTTTATTCCAAAATACGCATCCTTATTGTTTTTAATGGCTGTATCAGTGAGTTAAATGTGTTCCCTATGCACTTTTGCTACTATTGTAATCTGAATACCCATACTCCAAGTTATATATTTTGAATTAATAGTACCGCCAATCGAGTGCAATGCCTCATTAAAATCAATGTTAAGACTCTCCCTAAATGAGAAATGGTAGAAATTGCTGCCAAGATGTGTATGCCAATATGGAAGTGATTAACCAGACTCTTATGGTGCCACAATGTATGAATCAAAACCTTTTATTTGAAGATTTTTTCTAATTCCCAAATATGCAATTGTATTTTTTAAATGAGGTTAAATTTTAAATGAATAGTTAGCACTAGCAGCTGTAGCAACTTCAAAAATTTTCCACTGTAGATATTTCATGTGTATACTTTTAATCTGATGTATTCAAAACTAATAAAATAAAGGTTCAAAACTTTTGCTTGTATTTGTAATAGTGTTCCTAAAGTCAGTAATGGCACAAGGCGAAAGTCCAAATAAAATGAACCTGTTATACATCATTGATTGCTTGCCATTGGTTCATTGTTCCCTTTAAAAATTAATGAAGGTTGAAGGAGGCATGTCGATGGAAGAGGTTTTCCAGCAGATTGCTCATAATGAACTTACGATACCTACATGGACTAGTATAGACTGCAACCTCCCAATCTACCAGTGAATTAGGGTTTTATATCCTACAAAAGGCTCGGCAGTGTGATGAGCGTTTATAATACGCCCTTCACTACTCCACTGATTACCATGCGTGAGTTCGAATCCTGTGGTTGATTATTATGTTTCTGCGCCATGGGGTGGTTTACATCAGGGCTACTCAACTATTTTTACCGAAGGTCCGCATACAAAACTTAAAAATTATTTGGGTCCGGTCTTTCCAGAAATTATATTTCGGCATCCTTAAACGTACACTTCCTCGACCGACTAATGATTATTAGCTAGTCAAGATTGTTTATTGTGGCGTTATAGTTCTTTTCGTGTATATTCAAAACTATAAAAGTCATTTTATGAAATGAAACATCTAAACTGGGGCTAATGATCCAAAATAAATAATTATGTGCGGTCCAAATCCAATACTCGAGAGGACTCGAGAATTCGAAGTTTGTCTACCGTAACCAATGTTGGGCTAAAAAGTGTCATATTCGAAGCCGTGGCTTTTCTCAAATTTAAGTGTTATCAGTAAAAATCGGCAATATTCTTTTACAAAGACTGCAGCCTACTTTGCTTTGAAATCTTAAGATAAGATAAGTTTATTTCGACTCCATAATCAGCAAAAAGGCGATAAAATGGTTGGTAAAAACAAATACTCGCAAATAAAAACTGATTATAAAATCAGGAGAGTAAACAAAACCTTGGATAAGGTTTAAAACGTACAGAATATAAGATGGAAGGTATTGCCAAAAAGATTTCTTATTTTAAATTGGATTAAGACAAAATCGACTGATATGCTGGAATCAAGACTCTTGGTCTGACAAAACGTTACAGAAATACATTTGTGTTAGTGTGCAGCAGGACTCTTGAATCGCATAGTACCGGTACCAGCACTAGTATACTCGGCAAATGACAGCTTTGTGAACCACGTTGTTAAATAGACCTTATTCATTAAAAACCCATCCTACGCGTAAAAAGAAAAGTGATGTAAAAAATAAAAATTTAACATTAGCATATGGGGAATGTGATCACCAGAGCAGAAATTTGCATTTTTCGTAATCACCTAGATATCTTTCAATGTAGACGTGTGCAGTTTTGAGGATAGAATATTTTTTACATCTTTTTTGATATTTTTATCATGATGAACATGGTCAAGATTTTTGATAATCGTTCATTAATTAATTTTAATGAGCGCGGTGTTTCCGATGACGTCATTCTCACTAGACCATGAGATTCTGCCAATTCGCCGTGCTCTGTGGGATATGCGCTGCAAATGCGGCGCTAATGTCGCTTTAGGTACGGTACCGATACTGGAAGCGTTTAACATTGACAATCTATAACCCATACCATTTCTATCACGTTTGTTTACTGGTTTTACGCAATTATACCTGTACAGCTAGCAATCATTTACTGAAGGCATGCTGACGTGTTATTTAAACTACCGATACCGTACCAAGGCTGCAAGAAGTGAAAACTAAATTATTTAGTAAATATTGAAATAGGCCTACGAACAAAAATGTTGGCCAGCCTGCCAATAGGCAGGATAAGTTGTACGGTACCGGTATACAAAAAAAGATGAATATCTCCAGCTTATAATGGTACAATACCGGTCTCCTAACTAGGTTAAAAAACATGACTGAATACGAGAGAGAGATTTATGGAAGGCGCGGCGGTGTGGCTCAACGGGCTAAGCGTTAGGAATACGCTCGCCACCGCACCTCTAACTACTCTGCGTGGGTTCGCAGGTTCGAATCCCATGCTGGGATGGTTATGTGCGAGAGGATTGCTGGACTCCTCGCCGTCGTTGGGTGGTTCACGTAACCGCTGGTCGGTTACGGCTTCCTCCACCACCAAGTCCATGCTTCCGAAAAAAACAATACAGTAAAACTAATCCCATACCCGACTTGAAATGGTAACCGGACGAGAGTCCGTGGTTCGCCATATGGATAAGCCGTCTTATCGGCTTTCCTCTCCCCCGGGATAAATATGTAAATCCTTTCCTATCCTATCCTATTTCGTCAACCAGAATACAAGCATTGAATCAATGAAAATTATATACAAAACACACAGTTATTCGGTATAGACTGGGGAGCGATACGACCATCACAGTCAGCTCCCCTCTGCCCCTCATGTTCGCTATCAAGATTAACAGTTAATTAAGATGTTTGAACAATTTAACAAAAACTCCTTGGAGGAAGGGTTGACTGAGTTATGGAGTATTTTTGGATTCGGTTAAAAATGTAGTCCATTATTAAACCACTGCTTTTTTTTGTAGCGTTTCACTTAGTGGACACTTAGCAAGTACGACAGTTAATTTATAAAAAAAAATGTAAAATAATAACAAATCAGTAGAAGTCAGCTCCGGTATTCAAACATGTGATGATTGAAGTGAGATATAAATTTGAAGTCACGTTTAGGATATTACATTAAACAACAATGGAACAGGTACATTGGAATCAGTTCAAATGCTAATGGCATTAATGAAATAAATATGCGAAATAAAGACTGAAGTTTCTATCTGAGACATTGGAAGACGCTTAAACCTTATAGACTTGATAGTGCTGTAGTGTGGAAGGCTCGATAATTGGCCCATTGATGTTCCTCCTTTTTGTCAATGATCTTCCTGACGCGACTAAATTGCTTGTCAAACTCTTTGCTGATGATACTGGATTGTTCGCAAGTTCAGCTTCATTAGTTGATTTGGAATTGCATATGAACTGTGAAATGCAAAAAATTGCACATTGGATGACCAGTAATAAGCTCACAATAAATATTGAAA